AGACCTGGGTGTTTAATTCACTGCAAACTCAACATAAGCCAATAATGTGAATTAGCCGCCAAAAAATCCAGTCCAATTTCAGGCTACACGAAGAGAAATATGGTGTCCAAAACAAATTATGTAACAGCCCCTTGTCCTTGGACCTGGTCAAAACACATCCACGAGTTTCTTCTGTCCTGACAAACTAGAGCAAATCCAATAGAAGACAACCAGGATAGGAAAGGTCTGGGTTATGTGAAGAGCTGAGGGGTCTTTAAGGCTAGAATTCAAGCCAGTTTTCTTTAAGGTTCTCAAAGACTATCTTATGGAAAAAGGATTAGACTAGCTCCGAGTAGTTCCATCAAACAAGGTGACACAACACCTTCTTATCATGTCTAATTACTGCACCACAAAAAAAGAGACATGAAAAATCCTCCACGATGTGGACTTTTCAGAGGAGACAGGACCTGCTGGTGGCTAACCTGCTCACCTCCTCAAGGATAAGGGAGCTGAATGTGAACCAGGGAACTGGGGTAGGGGTGGGGGTGGGGAAATAATTAGAGGAACTGGAAGGAAAGAGGCAAAATGGCGATATTATTTTCTTCTTGAGCCAAAGGGAAGGAAATGGACATTTAGAAACCAAAACCATGGATTCCTCTTAAGGCCTCTCTGAGGTCAGATGAACGTATGAAGGTATGCTCAGGTTAAGGCTGCCTGAAGAATGGAAATACTTGTTTTCTAACTAGGAGTCAGAGTACCTGAGTTCTAGTTTGACTCTGGTCCTAACTGGCTGTGTGACTCCAGACAAATCATTTCATTTCTCTTTTGAATGGATTTTTATTATTAATCTCTTCTGTTTTTCACATCACTTTCATTTCTCCCCTCCCTTCTTCCCAGAGTGATTTAACTTCTAATAAAGAATCAGGCACATGTATTAGAGAACAACAAAAAGAGCACAAAGCATCGATGCTGTAAGTCCTCAGGAATCTGCCTAATCACTGTCTTTGAAATATACGCAGGAGCAAGGCAGACGGGTGCTGCTGTGGACATTCTTATCACCGTAGGAGACGAATTTGTGCAGAGACGACCACCCAGTTTACAGGATCCTAGATCAAGAGTTGGAAGAGACCTCAGAGGCCATCTTGTTCATTGTCCCACCCTTTTATTTTTTACAGATGAGGTAACTGAGGCTCCCCTGAGGTTAATTGCCTTGCCTAAGATCACGCAGGAAACAAGACTCATTTGGGAAGTTGATTGTTGCCTGGTATCATCATCACATATTCACTAAGAGTTTACTGGCCCTCACTATATGCATGGGATCTATAGGAACACAGAAGAGTCTCAAGTTTAGGCTCTGTGTGGAACTGGTCATTAGGGGATAAACCAAAACGGATTTAATTTTCTTGGTTGAGCTCAAACGTCAAGCTGGGAGAAGAAAGTTGAAGGCATTCCTATAAGAGAGCAAGTTCATCTACCCAAATGCATTTATACTTCTACCCTCTCATGGAAGGATCCTGTTCAAGAGGGAGTATAAGTCCCCAAAGGACAAGGAAGGCAAAGTCTCTATATTTACTCAGCAAAATGCCCTGCACAATATAATATTGTTGTTGTTCTGTCGTGTCCAACTCTTCATGACCTTATTTGGGGTTTTCTTGGCAAAGATACTGGAGTGGTTTGCTATTTCCTTCTCCAGCTCAGTTTTTACAGATGAGGAAACTCAGGTAAGCAGGGTTAAGTGACTTGCCCAGGGTCACACAGCTAGTGTGCCTGAGGCCAGATTTGAACTCAGGAAGATGAGTCTTTCTAATTCTAGGTCTGACACTATCTATTGCACTTCCTAGCTGCCCGCAAAATACAATACTTGACATTTATTGTGTAGGTTGGGGTTTGGTGCTTTCTCCTTTCTCCAATTACCTTGTATTTACGTATATGTGTACTTGTTATCGCCCCTCATTAGAATATAAGCTCCTTGAGGGCGGGGACTGTTTATCCTGGTATCCCCAGCATCCACCTTGTGGATAATAGGAACTTAAACAAATTCTTGATGACTTAAATTAGAAGCACTTTACACCTATTATATCTCAATTGATTGCCACAACCCTATGAGGTAGGTTAAGTATAAGAGTCGGCCCCATTTTCCAAATGAGGAAATGGAAGATTGAAAAGATTAAATGACTTAATATAAGTCACACAGCTTGTGGAGAGACATGTCTGGACCCAAAACCAGACCCTCTGGCTCATCAGAAAAAAAATACTTCCCTCTCCCACTAACCTAACCTGAGTACATACTCCCTTATTATATTCACTCTCTACTGCATAACTCCCTCCACAGAGATTGCTGGAGTGGGAGAAGGGAGAACAGTGTGGTTTTTTTGTGAATAAATGAGACCCTGGCTTTTTAGATGGTTCAAGTTACATTTATGTTTTCAGTGTTGGAAGCAGAAGAAAATGGCTAAGATGCCTCAGTTCATTATAGATCATCAAAGAGGCCTCTGCCCCGTGTCTTAACACACTGCTGACCTATGCATGGCTCAAACCAGAGCCCCAGGGAGAGAACAAGCTCTGAAACTCACACCTGCCTGCTAAGTCCAATGTTCATTCTTGCCTAGCCTTCCTCATTCCATTGAACAATGCCTCCCATTTTCAAATCTGTCTGGGACTGGATTCACCATGGTGACTTCATACAGGATGGACAATGACATGCATTCACAAGCTTGGAACTGCACGTGACGAAAGACAAACATCACCTGTGGAGTGACCCATGCATTATCTCAGAGACAAAGGATTCTGGGCTAATAGGAAAAAAGGAAGAATGAGCCAGGTTCAGATCTCTCACAGATCCTGAGAGAGGTGACTAGAGCATGCTGGGGGTGATGCTACAGCTAGTGAAGCACAGGCCAGATTACCTTTTCAGAGCAGGACTATTAGGAGAAAATTTGCCTCTTAAGAAGCATCTAGGCTTTTCTTCATCAAGAAGACCAGAAGAGGGAGGAAAATGCATGGGAAGCATTGCACGCTCTGCTAACTCCATTCCCACAGAGAGGGAGAGCATATGAGCTCTCCAGGAATCATCTATCCAAGATGGGTGGACATGAAGGAAGAGCCTCCTTTGCAAGGATATCTACCAGAAGGGCTGTTATGAAAAGGACAGGCTGGTACAGGGAAGCTTGGGGAAGTGGGGAAGAAAGTTTGGAGACAGTTTCAGATTCTGTCATTTCAGAGGCAGAGAGGGGAAAGACATAGCATGAGGGAAGAAGGAGAAGGAAAGACATTAGTGAAACGGAAAAAATCCAAATGATACTAAAACTATGTCAAGATCATTTATTTTTCCTAATTCATCAGATCTCTTTAATAGGATCATGGATCGAAAAGCTGGGAGGGACCTGAAAGGTCATCCAGTCCACCCCCTCACTTTACAGATGAGGAAAATGAGGGCCACAAAGGTTTGGTGACTTGTCTAAGGTCAGAGGTGGATCTTGGACCTAGGTCCCTACAGAGCCAGTGTTCTTTCCACCATACCACACACGACACTTATTGAATTATTAATCCCCAATCATAAGCATTTCAATGGCTTATTGATGGGCTTATTTCCTTTTTCTCCTCCTCATACTAAACTAGAAAAGGCCTGAGGCAAAGTCAACCAAGATCAACATGCCTTCCACATGGGCCATCTCAGTTACTTTCGAGATGAGATTTTTCCTTTCAGGGCTTAGGGAAAGATGGGTCTAATATTTAGGTGACATTTTGTATATTAAATGTCTGAGCTCCTAATAATAAATTGAATCCCCAAAAGGTACCCCATTCCCATCCTACCATGTAGAACTCCATGCCTTCTTACCTGACTTTGTTTCCAGCAATTGCTGACTTTCTGTACCAGGAGTTCTTAACCCTGGAATTCATGAACTTGTTTTATTAATAACTGTATTTTACTATATTTGGTTTCATTTGTAACCCTATGTATTTTATTTTGTGCATTTAAACTATTATTCTGAGAAGAGGACCACAGGTTTCACCAGAAGGCTAAAACTCCAAAGATATTCCCTTCAGCTCTTATAAAAACCTCTACCCTATAAATTCTTACTAGTAAAGTTAAGAGTAAACATATAAACTAGCTCATCTCTGCCCCCACCTCCCAATGTTCATAATAACTCATTTTGTAGTGCAGTGGTATCTAACTCAAATACAAATGGTAGCTACCAAACCATGCATAAGGATCCCTGTGGGCTGCATATTGACTTAGAAACCACAAGTTAACATTATCTATGTTTTATTGTAATTTTATTTACTTTGTTAAATATTTCCCAACTAGATATTAATCTGTTTCAGACCATATTCTTGAATATGCTACGTATTTGACACCTCTGGTATGGCATATAAAGTTCTAGACTTGGAATTAGTGAGACATGGATTCAAATACTAACTCAGATAGGATTGTGTGACTTTGGACAAGTCACTATTGACCTCCCTGGCTTCCTTTAAGTCCCAACTAAAATGTCACTTTCTACAGGAAGTCTTCCCCAACCTCTCAATTCCAGTACCTTCCCTCTGTTAATTATTTTCTATTTAGGCTGTATGTAGCTTGCTTTCTATATATTTCTTTGTATGTTATCTCTCCCATTAGATTATAAGCTCTTTGAGGGAAGGGACTGTCTTTTGCCTCTTTTTACAACCCGAAGTACTTAACACACTACCTGGTACACAGCAGGTGCTTAATAAATGCTTATTGATTGATTGGGTCTCAGTTATATAAGATATGCAGTTGAACTAAATGGCTTCTGAGATACATTCCAGCTCTGAATCAATGACCCTCAGACCTCTAGCATTATCTCAGACAATATGGTGATATTAAGACTATACCAGTCTGAAACACACAACAAGTATCTCTACAGAATCAGGGAGGAAAAAAGCCTAACAGATCATTGAAAATCTAGAATAACCTTATAGGCCCAATTCCAGAATAAAGTATCAATCCACTCTGGCCTTGCCTCAGGAAACAGAAGAGAGAATATAAACATACTCACAGTCCATTGTTTTGCTCTACACTGGCCGCTGTCTTTGCCTCCAAGGCATTATTGAAGTTAGAGATGTTTTCTGATGAGTAGAGGTTGGCTGGGTTGTTGTATTGGGCAGTGATGATGCGAGGGGAAGCGCTGGATGCTGGGCTGGCTGAGAAAGGCATGGCGCTTCGGTTGTGGGCGCTTCCTATGTGCAAGACTTCCTGGACACAGGGGAACAAAGAACGAATCAGTTATGGAAACATAAAGGTATGGGAAGAGCAGAGGTGATCACGTGACGTAATATAAACAAAGACCCAGGGGTTCTTGGTACTAAATAAAATCTCTCCATGTATGGTCAATCACTCCGTACTTTTCTAGGGACTTGGACACATGCAGTGAAAATTCTCTTGTCTTGTCTCCTCATGGTGTTCAGGTGAACACCTGGGTTCTTGAAGACTGTGACAGCTGAATAAAAGCTCTCGTGGCTTTTTCTTCTTCTTCTTTTTTTTTTTTTTTTGCTTTTTTTTGATGAGGCAATCAGGGTTAAGTGACTTGCTCAGGGTCACACAGCTAGCAAGTGCCATGTGTCTGAGACTGGATTTGAACTCAGGTCCTCCTGACTCCAAAGCCAGAGCTCTATCCACTGAGCCACTAGCTGCCCCATCTGGTGGCTTCTTCTAAGCTGAGAATGCTCTGAGTCCGTGTCCAGAGACATATGCAGACTGTGGTTGCCTGAGGACCAGTCCAGCTGAGTACCAACAGGTGGGCCACTTACTCTATTTCTTTGTGTTCATTTATTTTTCCCAACCTTCCTCAATTGTGTTTCTCCCTGTTTCATGAGTCACCAGGATCACCTAGTAAGTTGCCCACCTGTTGGTACTCAGCTAGACTGTGTGATTTCATTGGCAGAGGAAACTCCCAGATGCAGAGCTTCCTTCACCAATGTGCAGATAGTACCTTCTCTGCAATGTATGGTCTCATAAAATTATTTAGGTCATTCAGAGGTTAAGTGACTTGTCCAAAGTCACAGACCCAATATATAAATCAGAGATGGGGCTTGAACTCAAGTCTTTCTGGCTCCAAGGCCATCTCTCTATCTACCATACCACCTCCTCCCAAACTAAAAAAGAAACAAAGATCATTTGCTATGATCTCTACCTTTTCCTCTGTTCAATACTATAATATGCCTCTGCATCATCCCCAATTCTTCTCCCCCTTTTCTCTGTTCTATGAGGAAGGGACGGTCTTTTTCTTTGACAAGGTCAACTTTAATATCCACTGATGACCAAGATTAATTAATCAATGAGCATTTACTAAGTAAGCACCTATCACTATGTGCCGGCCATGGTGTAGCGGAAAGACTCCTAGATTTGGAATCAAGGAGCCTGGGTTTACATCTTTGAGTCTGCAACTTAGCACATGTGTGACTTTAGGCAAATCATTTAACCTCTCTGGGCCTCAGTTTCCTCACCTGTAAACTGAGGCAGAGAAGAAAATGCAAACCACGCCATCATCTTTGCCAAGAAAACCCCAAAAAAGGTCATGAAGAGTCAGACATGACTGAAACATGACTAAACAACTACTGACCTGCTTGCTGCCCTGGACGCCCCCCCCCCCCCCCAAAAGAGAGGCAATGGACTAAATATACAGAATGTGACACAATTTTTGGACGTGGCCAAAATGAGAATTTGTTTTACTTGACTAAGTATATTTGTTATTTGTTTATTGGTCTTTTTTTTTTCAGTGAAGGAAGAAGAGAAAATAAATATTTATTCATTGAAAAAATAAAATGTAATGTTAAAAAGAGAACTGGAAAGATACAAAGGGCCCAGAATGTGAAGAACTTTTAATGCCAAATAGAGGTGTTTGTATTTGATCTTAAGAGATAATAGGGAGCAGCTAGGTGGTGCAGTGGATAGAGCATTGGCCCTGAAGTCAGGAAGACCTGAGTTCAAATCAGGCCTCAGACCAAACACTTGACACGTACTAGCTGTGTGACTTTGGGCAAGTCACTTAACCCCGATTGCCTCACTTAAAAAAAAAAAAAGAGATAATAGGAAGCCATTGGAGTTTGTGAGTAGAGTTTCATAAACCCTATGGAAGGAAGGAGAAAACTCCTAGAGAACATTTGGAGAAACAAGGATGAGAAAGGTTTCAGACCTCACCCAAGAGATTCTGGACAGCTTGGAAGGGAAAGCAACCCTACCCGGGCAGAGAGAACTTATCTTTCTGAAGGAAGGAGGAGAATATTTCAAGAACTCAAAAGCCTGAAAAAAATTTGCCTCATAGCTGCAGAGTATCATGGAGCCTAAAGGAGATGAAAGACACAGGAAACAGTCAAGTGTCTTTGAAGGTTAACAAAGAGCAGGCTCAACTGTAAAGTAAAATCAACAGGTGAATTAGGCCGGATGCTATGAGAACAGCAATGTAAAAATCCAACTTCATAAACAGTTACAGACTGCCAAGATATAAACAAGGGGTGGGGCAGAGGGAGGGAGATTAAACAAAAATGCTAAATCTGCATCATGTACTGAGTCTAGGAGGAAGTTCAAGGTTTTGATTAATAATCACTTATTTCTCCTTGGGCCAGATCTGTGATTTCATTAGTTTAGAACTCCCAGTATGCAACTCCCTCCACCAAAGCAGACCAGAGCTCTCCTACTACTTAAGGTCTCATATAGTTGCCTGGGGGTACTGAGAGATTAAGTCATTTACTGGGATGAGTGTCAGAGAGTGAACTTGAACCCAGGTCTTCTTGACCTTGGGACTATCTCTTTACTCATGCCACACTGCTTCTCTTAATCAAAATAAATAATGGCAAATAATTTGAAATAGTTGTGATAAAATATTTTATTTAAAATATTGGGAAACTAATTATAATAAATAAGGTTACTTTTGAATATGGAATGAAGGAAAACAAAAGTTTACAATCCAAAACAAAAAGAGAAAACAAAAAACAACCTGGTTTGATAAGAAGCTTAGAAGGCAACAGCAGAGAAGACAACTATTAATTCCCTAACACTTAAAACTTTAAATGTAAATGGGCTGAATTCTATTAAGAAGAAGAAGTCACTGACTGAATTTAAAAACAAAATCTAACAATCTGTTGCCTACAAGAGATGCACTTAAAGCCAAAAAATATAAGTGACTAAAAAATTAGGGACTACTAGTTTAAAGTCTAATTTGTCTCTGAGATGGCCATCACAGAAATCAGACAAAGCAGATCTTACAAAAAAATGAAACAACAACACTTGAAAATTGGAAAAGATACATTAAATGATGAAACCTAACAACATTGAGAATACGTGTTCCAGAAAGAGCAATGAAAACCTAAAAGAAAAAGTGACAGAAAAGCAAGAATGGGCAGAGAGAAATATAATTGAAATCAAAGACCTCACTTATCAGAATACCTCAAATCAAGTAGCCAAATTGTATTCATTTTAAACTTATAGTCCATCCAACCCTTCAATCTTATGATTCTGCTACATAAAACGCTGTCCCTGCCTTACTTTAAAAAAAATTGTAGTGTTAAACATTACAATGAATAAAGTTCATATACGGTGATAAATTAATAGCAGGCCAATGGGATAGACTGTCTGTAAGAGTACACAGATTAGTCACAAAAAATGAATTCCCAACCCCTGCTCATATTCAGGGACTTTAGTGTATAGAATCATCTCCTCTTGAACACTCTGGCTTCCCAGTTCACCAGCCTCAGGGTCCCATAATCCTACATCTTCTCTCTACTTCAGCTACACATGGAGAGATGGTCACATTCCAGATCTCACCATTGCCCATGACTGGGCTCCTTCCATGGTCCTAAAATCTGGAATCTTTCTCTGAGCCTTCCATCTCCCCCTGTGCCTCACTACCCATAAACTTCTTGATCCTCACTATGGCCATCAGCCTCCCCCATTTTTCTCTGTTCTACCAGTCCTACAAACTTGCCTTTGGCCTCATCCTCCTCCCTTCATAGTCTTAATCCTATGGTAGAACAGAAGAGTCTTCCTGATTGCAGTCCTGGCACTCTATCCACCATGGCACTTAACCGCCCAAGATGATCAACTGCTAAATCCTATGGCTTTTGCTCAGGCTCCATTCTACTTGACTTCCCTACTCTTGCTGATGTTGTCAATTAGCTTCCCCTCACAAATACCCTTTTCTACTTTGGCTTCCATGATACTTTTGTCTTTTGGTTCTTTTTCTCTCTGTCTCACTAGTCCTTTTTGATTTCTTTTGCAGGTTCATTGTCCGCTTCTTGCCCACTAAGTAAGAGAGTTCCAACCAGGTTCTCTCTTGGGGCCCCTTTTCTTCTTTCCCTTGATGATCTCCTCAGCTCCCATGGGTTCAATGATCTCTGACTTCCAAATCTATACGTCACACCCTAATCTTTCTCTTGAACTCTACTCCTGCTCTGCCAGCTTTCTCTTGGATGTCTCTGCCTAGATAGCCAATCAACATCTCAAATTCAACATGCCCAAAATGAATCTTTTTGTGTTATTTCTTTTCAGGGCACCACCATTTTTCCAGTCACTTAAGTTTCTGACTTTGACCTCTCCTTTTCTCCTTTAATGTCTGCAGCATTTTTCTAATTCTTCCCCTTTTCTCTACTCATACTGTAGCTACCCTAGTTCAGGCCTTATCACCCCTCACCTATACTACTACAATAGTCTCCTCATTGGTCTCTCAGTTTCCAATCTCTCTATAAGCCAATCTCTACACAACTGTCAAGGCAATACTCCTAAAACACAGGTCTGATCATGTTGCCGTCCTGCTCAAATATCCTCAGTGGCTCCCTACTGTCTCTGAGAAAGACTACAGACTGACCAGCCTAGCATTTAAGTTCCTCCACAATCAGGTTACCAACCTACTTAAATTTAACAATCTACTGGCCATCTCCATGTCATTGAACAGGCTGTCTCCTGTGCCTGTAATGACTTCCTCCTTAACTTTACCTCTTAAGAGTCTCAAGCTTCCTTCCAGGAGCCTCAAGAGCCACACCAGTGGTCTCTCCCTCCTCAAATGAACCTACACTTGCTTATCTGTGTCCATGTTATATCCCCAAATAGAATGGAAGCTACTTGAGGGCAGGATCTATTTGATTTTTGTCTTTGTACCCTCAGCTTTTAGCACATTGCTGGTCACACAGCAGACATTTAATAAATGTTTGTAAAATTGAGGGACAGCTAGGTGATGCAGTGGATAGAGCATCAGCTCTAGAATCAGGGGGGACTGAGTTCAAATCTGACCTTAGATACTTACTAGACATATGATCCTGGGCAAGTTACTTAATTCTGATTATCTCTCACCTCCCTCCATTCAAATTGAACTAAACCACAGAATTTCCTCCCAAAATGTACCCAGCTCTCATGGATTCACTACAAGTTTTTCCAAACTTTTAAAGAACCACTCATCTCGGGGCAGGTAGGTAGCACAGTGGATAGAGCACAGGCCCTGGAGTCAGGAGGACTTGAGTTCAAATCTGACCTCAGACACATAACACTCACTAGCTGTGTGATCATAGGCAAGTCACTTAACCCCATTGCCTAGCCAAAAAAAAAAAAAAAAAAGAACCATTCATCTCAACTCCGTGTAAGCTATTTTTCAAAATATAGGAAAGGATGATAAGTTACCTAACTCATTTCATGAGAAAAATTTGGTTTCCATGTCCAAACCTGAAAATGTCAACACTACAGAAGTGAGGTCAATCTCACTTATGAACATCAATGAAAAAACAAACAAACCCTAAATAAAATCTGGGTAAATATGATAAAGAGCTGCATAAAAGGGTGTTCCCCTATGATCACATAGGGTTTATTTTATTTTCAGAATACAGAACATAGTAAAAGAAAACTATAAACATAATTCATCATATCAAAATATATTTTTTACTTTATTTTTCTTGCTTTTTTGCAACCTGTCTAATATGAGGAAAAACATAATTCATCATATTAATAGGAAAATTTTAAAAAGATCTCAAAACATTACAGGAGATAGTGACTCAGGATAGCCCCTAAACAGGAAGTATTTGTTCACTTTTGCTGTCTGGTTAATCTTCTATTTCTACCAATCAATCAATTAATCAATAAGCTTAGAATGGGGAAAGAGGATGGACCTAGGATTTCATTGGTATCAGGAATTCCCAATGAAAATCTCTCTCTACCAATGTTAATCAATACCAGCTACACAACTTAGTCTTGCCTGGGGCACTGAGAAATTCTGTGCCTTACTTGGGATCATAACCAAAAGAAGGACTTGAACCCAGGTCTTTCTGACTCAGAGGTCAGCTCATTCCCCTATCCAGTGTGTCCTGTGGTCATTTAGTAAGCTTCTATTATATGCCAAACACTGAGATAGTGAGAGTACAAAGCCAAAAATAAAAGACCCTCCCTCCACTAGCTTATATTCTATGAGGAAATACCTGAGGGGATTTGCACATGTACATGGAGGGAAGGGAGAGACGGGAATTATAGATTCTCAATTTAATTTAACACAAGCTCACTGAGCATCAAGAAGACGGGCAATCAGAGAAGACTTTATACAGAGAGCTTGAGGTGTATTGAAAAAGATAGGAAGGTAGAGATTCTACAGGGGAAGAGGAAAGAACATACTAGACACAGAAAACAGCATGAACAAAGGCAGAGAGATTAGAAAAATGGGGAGTATTAAAAGGACAGAAGGCAGTCCCATTTGGCTTCGATATAGGCCAGAGTAAAAATAGGGAAATAGGAGGTCAAGTTGGAAAGGTAGGTGGCACCAGTTAGTGGAGGGCTTTTGGACTGGGCAAAGAGTCTGAACATTAGAGAGTCCCCGAAAGACTTTGAAAATTAATACGAGCCCCATCTCAGGGACTTATTAGCTGAGGAACCCTGGGGAACCGATTCAACTTTACTGGGCCATAGGTCTTTCTTCTTCAAATAAGAGGACTGGACTAGGAGGTCCCTTCCAGCTCTAAATCAATGATTCTATGACCAAAAACCTATTGTAGTGCCTGGCACTTAGTAGGCCCCTGTTGATTAATTGATTAGAACTAAGCATCAAGGAGGTAAGTCCAGCAGATGTGTGAAGGATAGAAATGGGAAGACCGGTTAGGAGGCTTCATTAAAATGATGGCAGTGAGGATGGAAACGAAGGGACAAATTCAAGATATTGGTGAGATAATCCCAAACTTTCCCCATCATATCTCCTTAGACAGCTCTCATGTTTCCTTATATCATTCTTCACAGTGTCATCTAATTAATAATAACAAACTAGTTAACAATTAAAAAAAGTTGTTTTGAGGGCAGGAATGACTATAATTTGAAGGGAAACATCATACACTCTAAGTTCCTTGAGAGCAGGAATTGTCTCTTTTGTACTTGTATGCCCAGTGCCTAGCCTAGCGTCTGCCTGGCATATAGTCATTGCTTAAATAAATGATTGTCGATTGATCGAATCTCAAAAAATATACTGTCTTCCTGGGGTACAAATCATCTGCATGTAGGGAATTACAAAAACGGTTGTTCCCAAGAAGTTATTCATAGAGTTGAGAACCGTTAGAGTGGAAGGACCTCAGAGATCACTCAGGGCCACTCCCTCTTTCTCCGGGAACTTGACACAGTTTCACACAATAATCAGGCTTTTACACTCATCTCTAGTTTCATTTCTCTTTTGTCTCTCCCCGAAGGGCCCTAGTAAAATCCTTCTACTATGTACTAACTGTCAAGAAAGTGCTTTGGGCTGTTGGAATGAAATACATTGGGTTGAAATACAACAGCATTGTCCACTAGTACATTCCAGGGGGATTTAGGGTGCCAGGAGGAGAAGAAGATGGAAGTGCCAGGAGTCTATTCAGAACGAGATACCATACAAGGCTGAAATAAATTAGCCAGGAGGAGATAAGCTAAAAAAAAGATTCTGATAACAAAGAAAGACGCAACTTCAGAATACCCAAGGAAGCTGTGTAGTACAATGGAAAGAATGCTAGATTTGACCATGCTATACTTACAAAGACAAGAAAGTTTACATTATACAAAGATCTTCAAAAAGGAAAAAAAAAAGAATGCTAGATTTGAAAGCAGATGACCTCTAATCAAAACCTGGTCTTCCTACTTACTATCTGTGCAACATCAGTAAAGCCACTGGGTCTCAGTTTCCTTAGTTGTAAGATGAAGGGCTGGGATTACATGCCTTTTAGGGTTCTAAATCCTATGAGATTCACATTCCTCCAGCAAAAATGGTGATCCTATAATCCTAAAATCTGGACACTTATTGAGAAAGTCAAGAGAGTAATTAGATGGAAGTTTTAGGAGTAGATGTTACAGGGAGGAATACGGGATGATGAAATCATAGGGACCAAGAAACTCAGCATAACATTTATTGAGTTGCTACAATGTGTCGGCCACCGTACTAGGCTTTGAGGATACAAAGAATGCCCTTCACTTTTACTGGCAGGACATAAAATGTATCCAGGTAAATAAATATAAGGTAGCTTGAGAAGAGAGGAAGCACTAACTGCTGGGAAGGAAGGAAAAAGCATTTATTATGTTGTATCAAACACTGAGGATACAAGTACAAAAGACAGTCCTTTCCTTCAAGGAGCTTACATTCTAATAGGGAGAGAGAAAAATTAAAAATATAGATAATATACATATAAAAATTATAAATAAATAAATAAAATATATAAACAATATATGTGTGGACTTGGTGGTTAGGCAAGGGAGTTTTGGTCTAAGAAGTCAAAGGGATGGTGAGAGGAGCCATAGGGAACTCAATTTCCTTTCCAGAAGCAATGGCGGTGTTGATTCCAATGCCATTCCCAAAGCAAGAGATGAGGGGAAAAGAGGAGTAATGCTGTGGCATGGCAGGAAGATGGTTGTGAAACGCAGTAAGGAAGGGACAGCCAGACTAACTATTCTCACCAACCATGCCAAAACAGCCAGAGTAGGCTGGGAGCTGGCAGTCTGGTAGTACAACAGTAGCAGCAGAGCAGGAAGAAGAAAGTGGTGCCTGAGCTAAACCTTGAGGGAACCAAGGATCCAGGAGGCAGAAGTGAGGAAGGACTGTGTTCAAGGCATGTAGAAGCAGCTAAAGTGGCACAGTAGATAGAGCACTGGACCTGGAATCAAGAAGACCGGAGTTCCAATCCTGCCTGGGACAATTACAAGCTGTATGACTGGGCAAGTCATTTAACCTCAGTCTCCCTCAGTTCCCTTTTCTGTAAAATGGGAACAATAATAGCATCTACCTTACAGGGGTGTTGTGATGATAAAATGAGACAGTTTATAAAGTACTTTGTATACCTTCAAGTGCTATTATAAATGCTAGCTATTATTATCGTTATTATTATTTACAACCTACGTAAAGGCATGGTGATGAGGGACAGAACATTGAATTCAAGGAGTAACTAGTAGACCAGTTCCACTGGAACACAGGATCAAATCATCATAGATTTAGAGCTAAAAGGAACCTTACAGGTAGAATCCAACCCCTTCACTTTACAGATGAGGAAACTAAGGCCCACAAAGATTATTAAGTGACTTACCCAAGGTCACACAAGGGTGGTAAGCGGCAAAATCAAGATTCAAACCCAAGTCTGCTGACTATAAAACCAGCAGTCTTTCACTATACCACATTGCCCATGATGGACTGCATATTATGTAAGTCTAGAAGGTATCCTGAAATCCTTGTATGCTCTTGTCCCATAATCTGAGAGCCGGGGGAAAGGGCTAGAGATTACTGGAGTCCTATTCTTCTACCTAAGTCCTACCCAGATGCTTTACTGAAGGATGGAGGCAGCTCTGGCTCATCAACAGCTATTAAAGCATGGTGCCTGGAATACAGTGGATGCTTAACAAATGCTACTTATTAATTGATTGGCAGGTTCTACCCAGCTGGAAAGTCTCCATGGTGGGCTGCCATCCTTGTCTAAGGACCAGCCTGTTGTTGTTGTTCAGCTGTTTCAACTCTTCGTGACCCGTTTGGGGTTTTCTTGGCAAAGATATTGAAGTGGTTTGCCATTTCCTTTTCCAGCTTATTTTACAGATGAGGAAACTGAGGCAAACAGGGTGAAGTGACTTGCCCAAGGTCACACAGCTAGTAAATGTCTGAGGCCAGATTTGAACTCAGTGAGATGAGTCTTTCTGACTTCAGACCAGGCATTCTATCCACTACCGACACCTACCCATCCTGGCACCAGAAGACCTGGCTTCAAATCCCAGTTCTGTCACTTACTATCTCTGTGACCCAAAAGGAAAGTCATTTCTCTCTAGGCCCTAGTTCCTTAATCTAAAAAATGAGGTTAGATCAGCAGATCTCTAAGATCTTTTCTAGTCGTAAATTCTATGATTATTACTATTAATAATCTTTCCTCTTTAAACATCTTGTATAGAGGATGAGATAAAGTTTGTAAAGTGCTTTGTATACCTTAAAATGCCATATAAATGTTAGCTATTATTTATATTTTTTTAAAATTTATACAAATTTATATTTTTGTTGCAATGGAGATTACATTGTTATAGAAAGAAGCTAATTAAGCACCTAGACTATATTCTATGTACTCCAAGAAAGGGTCTCAAATTCAAACCATGTTTTTGTTAAAGTTATCACACTGATCTATTTTTATGATCTAAATTAGTTTTCAGTTTATAAAGACTTGCCAATCCAAGTATTCATTTGCATAAAGGGCTCATAATATTCTTTGGGTTATTAGGGGGAAGAACTGTAGCCAGGCTAATACTCTGAAACTTTGAGATTCCTATTTTAAATCACCAATTCAGTCATACCTGGATTATAATTACCTACTATGTCTAAACTACCTTATAGGCCCCACTGTCCACCTAGTGGCAGCTATCAGAATTGCAAGCATAGTGCCAGGAAAGAAACGACCAGCTGCTAATCCATCACTCACCGTTTACTGAGCACCTAGGTAAACAATAAGCATTGTAAACCCACCACTATGCTTTCTGTACTTACTCCATAAATCTGTCTTCCTTCAGTCATTAAATAAGCCTCATTACACATCAAACTAGGTAGGGATGACCCATAGATGTCATCAAATGAGTGCTGAGGCAAACAGCTGCTAACTCTGCCGCCCTCCCCCACAACCTTCTAGAAATGGCCAACATCTGGATCAAAGAAGAGTTGGTATTGAGGTGAGGTTAGTGCTGCCATCAACACTGCTGTAGGATTGTCTAAGCTGACCTATCCTTTGGGAGGTTCACAGGGGGTGGTGGCAGGGAAAGGGAGGCAAGTTTCTGAAAAGTGGATAGCATTTTGGTTCTGTTGGCCTCACTCTTTAGTGTCTCCCCCCCAATCCCTCCCCCACACCCAGGTTTGCTTGGCCTGGTCTTAGCCAGGAGTTCCCAGGACGTGTTTGCATGTGGGTGTCTGCAGTTAGGCACTGTGCTGTTCTGAGACCCAAATACCACATCAAAGGAAGATCTGAATGATAATGATGGATCCCACAGTGCTAGTCTTAGAGGTAGGTGGTGTGGTATCTGATGCTCTGAAATGTGAATAAAATCCCTTGACCCTAAAGAAAAGGGATCTGTTTTTAACATACCTAAAGCTGAATTTCACTTTGATTACTATGTACCCAGCCAGAAAAGGAGTACTTTTGCAGTCTACATGTTTTAGGGGAAGGGGATCTTCCTGATTTAAACAAATGCAAAAGAACTCTCTTTGGCAAAAACAAACAAACAAACAAACAAACAAAATCTCAGCAATGTTTAGTCTAGTCTGGGTTCCTATGAAAGTAATAAAGTTCCCTTACTTTAATACAAAATTTAGACCTTTATTTTTCAGACTGGTTGTAAGCTTCTTGAGGGCAAAAACTATCTTTACTTTTCTTTAAATCACTCCATGCTTAATACAGTGTCTGGCACATAAGAAGCACTTAATAAATGCTTGTTTATTGATTAAGTTCCTACTGGGCAATGGATCAGGTGATTGATAAGAGCATTTTCACCCATTTCCAGCAGGATAAGAGGCGGGGAGGAGCCCCATAGCTCTGCCTTCCTCTTATTCCTTCACCTGTCATTTACAAATCTACAGCCAGGTGAGTGGAGAGTTTTGCTTAGTCGATACGGTGAACCCAATGCTGCCATCCCTTCCACAGCAAACCTGCCTTTCCTCTAATTTCTCCTTCCCTCCCCTTTTCATTTTGACCCCCAGCAGCACAGCAGGATGCATGGGGTTGAAGGACAGCTCTCATTTGTCCTGGAGCCAACATTTCCCCCAGAGGAACACACTCATGATCGTAATAGAAGTCAGTGGGATATAGAAGTCGATGTATCAAATTTCACATTGTGAAATTAGTCCAGTATGGCAGGAATGTGTCTGTTTCACATATAAAAGAAGTATCTGTCTACTGATGTGTGCATTGCCCTTCCCAGAACTCAGGAACATCCCAGGGCTAACTTTTGCATCAGGGATGATGTAATTGTTTGGGCTTTCTATTTATCAGTCTCCAAGGAAACTCAACAATGACAAGGAAATAAAATGACTCTCATTTCAGATAAGGTGGGGTGTTGGTTAGAAATATATAAAGTAACAGGTCCCTATCTAAGCTATTTTATTATGTATAGACTCTGATCTCATTCAAACTTTTTTTTTCCTTAATAGTTGGAAGGGGATTTTGTAAAGTTAATGACTATGGGAAGTATACCACCACAAGTGAGTACTTGAACTAAAAGAAGAAAGTCCTCAAATTAGAAAGTAACATATGGGATATCTTTGTTCTGGATACTCATAGGTTCCTAGATTGAAAGTTGGAAGAGACTTTAGAGTCCATATAGCTCAACCCCCTCCCTTAATAAATGAGGAAGTATAGTCCTAATTTAACTTCCATGGATGTGTTGTTTAATCTGATGATTTTAGGCACACGAAGTGAATAGCATAGAATACTTCTCTGTAAGGCTTTCTATTTGTATGAAGAAAGGCAGTGTGGCCCGAGGGCAGAGACAGCTAGCAGTGGGGTCAGCATAGGGCTTTGCAGTCCCACCCCTGCCGCATACTCGCTGTGGGGCCATACACCAGGTCTTAAGACTCTCTGTACCCCAGGCAGCTCTAAAGTCGATCCTCCTCAGAGGTGGTAGAAATTCCCCACACTAATAAAATCTGAGGTCTGGATCAAAAAAAAAATTTGTATGATATTAGCCAGAATCCCTGAACTCCAGTGTGCTTTAAAGACTAGACAGTCTTTGTTATCTGGCATCTACATAATAACTCACATATAGTGCTTTAAAATTTGCAAAACATTTTACATATACTTTATCATTTGACACAACCCCAAGAGGTACATAGGGAAATAATTACCCCCATTTTACAGATGAAGAAGCTGAGGCTTAAACATTTATAGCAGCATAGATTTATAGTTGAAGGGGATTTCAGGGGTCATCTAGTCCAACCGCTTCATCTTATAGATTAGAAGTGAAATGATTAGCCCAAGGTTGTAATTATCAGAAGCAGGTCTTTGGAGTCCAGAAAGAGTGCTCTTTCTATTGTACCACACTAGTGAGGTGACTTGGAGATAGGAACTGAACCTGGTTCTTCCAGGCTCCAAATCCCTTATCCACTACCCCAAGCAGCCTCTAATTTTTCTTAGAGTGTTTGTGTCAGAGAATGAAGTCAAAGAAGTAGAATGATCCTTAAAGAGAATATGGGAATCCTCAA